GCCCCTTCTGGAAATTAAAGCTTAAAAGGAGATTTATATAAACCTCTTTGTCTGAGAGACTTCTGGGACTGCTTTTTACTCTGTTAAACGGGCCTCTGTGTTAGCCCTAAGTCTCCCACTGCTGGTAAGCGTAATGCTTGAAGCGGGATGTAAAATGGAATATGCTTTACAAATAGCTGTGTTACAATCGGCACTGTTTCTCTTGCTGATGATTAATATCATAAAAGTAATTTCTGAATGCCAGTAACAGCTGACTGTATGCTTTTGAGTGTTTAACCACATGTAGTAGTTGAAAACAGATGTTCTGTGTGGAATAATAACTTCGAGATTAATTTTGACCAGAGTTCAGCACTGCAGTCAGCATTCTTACGTACCCACTCACTAAGTGGCGTGCTGTGAGTTCTTGTTAACCTTCAGACAAGTCACAGCTACTTCTGTTTTCCCCTTATGTGAAAAAGCCAGTGATTATTTTTGCAAAAGGTGTTTCATACCTGTTCTATTTTTTCCCCTGGTTTGGGGGTGTTTTTTAGTGTCACATCACTGCTTCCAAGTATACTTCAACAGCCAGCGAGGACTCTCACTTACTGCGGCTTACGGAAAGGAAAGAGGAAATCCGTGAAAGCGGTGGTCGATAGGTTTCTCCGGCTGCACAATGGCCTCTGGGTTAGGAGAAAGGTAAAATTTTTTTGGTAATCTAAGTGTGTTCTCTACAGCTAATTGTTCTCCTTCCGTTAGAGGGCAGTAGCTAGTATGGAAGTTAAAAAAAGCTCTGTAGAGAGATTCCCGTCTTCCTGAAAGTGGGGGATTTGTCCAGGTTTGCTTATCATTATTGCTGTGTATGTGTATTTGCAGCGACCCAGTTAAAAGCGTTTTGTGTATTTCTTTCTGAAAGGCTGGTTATAAGAAGAAACTTTGGAAGAAGTCAGCTGCCCAGAGGAAGCGTTTGAGAGAGCTGGTGTTGTGCACTAGAACGCAATGTAAACTCCTTGATAAAATGACTACTTCTTTCTGGAAGAGAAGAAATTGGTATGTTGATGATCCCTACCAGAAGTATCATGATCGCACAAATCTTCGTGTGTAGAAATGTTGGTTTCATTTTTGCATTTCTCTAGGAAAGAGGTGGAAGTACATGTGGTATGGTCTTAATTTTAGAACATAAATCTGTAATACCTGTTACTTTTCTAAACAAACACATGCATGTCATCTGATCAGAATTGTGGGTATCAGTGCCCAAAATAAAGGAATATTCAAGATGATGTTCAGCTGCAATTTGTATTTTACTTAGCAGAGGTCAAGCTGGTGACCTAGAATCACAGAATGGTTTGGTTGGAAGGGACCTTAAAGCCCATTCAGTCCCACCCCCCCTGCCATGGGCAGGGACACCTTCCACCAGACCAGGTTGCTCAAAGCCCCATCCAACCTGGCCTTGAACACTTCCAGGGATGGGGCAGCCACAGCTTCTCTGGGCAACCTGTGCCACTGCCTCACCACCCTCATGAGGAAGAATTTTTTCGTAATATCTCATCTAAGTCTTCCCTCTCCCGGTTTAAAGCCATTGCCCCTTGTCCCATCGCTCCCTGCCCTTCTAAAAAGTCCCTGCCCAGCTTTCCTGTAGGCCCCTTTAGGTG